TAATCCCTAATCCCAGCACTTGGGAGGCTGAGGCATGAGGATTGCTGTGAGTTCGAGACCAGCCTGGGCTACATAGTGAGTTCCAGGTCAGTCTCAACTACATAGTGAGACCCTGTCTCAAAAAACCAGAAAAAAGAAAAAAAATCTAATTGCTACACACAATTCTTGCTGCTCTTATCTTAGAGATGTCCTTTTTCATACATTAGCATGATTTGATTTTGCATCATTTTAAAAATCCTATAAGAAAAAACCCCACAAAACTTAGACCAAATTATTCTGATGAGCATATCAAAAAGAAAAAAGTAGTGAAATATTTTATTTTGTTTTGGTAAATGGAGCATTATAATCTTCTAATAGCAAAGCTGTTCCTAAACTTTGAAGAGTGTTTAAAAGTGTTTAACAACTTCACTTTGATAGTAAAAGGACCATGTAATTTTTTTTGGCTGTAATCTTGTAAGCCCAGAAGGAGAAGCTTGGATCTCCTTTGAAAGTATTGCCAAATATATTGTTGGCATCCAGTAAGTTGAAAATCAAAGTTATAAGAAACCAGATAATCATTAATCCTTGGTGTCTATTTGAGACTTTGTAATTTATAGACAACTCCAAACCAAGCTTTCTATAATTTGCTTTTCATTCTTTTTTTTCAAAGTTTAAACTAGAAAAGTATTAATAATGTAGAATCTGTATTTTCACAAAAGAACTAAGTATGTTGACATACTTCTTTCAGGGATATGGAGGAATTACTTAATAGTGTGTTCGCTTACTCATAAGTAAACAACAAACCACAGTGCTGACTATAGGAGTCAGATGAATGCTGAGAGTAACTGTACTTAACAGTCTTCCCTTACATGAGTGTACAAAACCTACCAAAAAGAAAGAGAAAGATGGCCAGTTCAGTTTGTGTCTGCGTTTGTTAAATCACATCAGCGATACCAACATTAACAGGACCTCAGTAGAAACATGATTTCTGACGTCCTGAAACTGAAACTCTATGAAATGTCTAAAGTCAGATGCCCGTAACAGTAACTATACCGCCAGTGATGGACTCAGTAGGAGAAAGTAAGTAAGAGCTAATAATATGTGTCCACCTCTCTTCCTTTGAGCAGGAAATCATACGATAGTTCAAGGCAGTTACCCCAAATCAAAAATAAACAATCATTTTCGTTTGTATTTTCTTGGAATTTTCTGATTTAAAAAAAACCTATGGTCTTAGTGTAAGAATTGAATTTTTAATTATTATTTTAACATTAAACATTTACCATAGTATTTAAGAAGCATGGCATAATCTGCAAAGCAAAGTGTGTTCTTTGGATCTGACCTAGGCAGTGGTAGCTACAATGATAAACCCTCCAAGATTGGATAGTTTTTTGGAATTTCATATTTATATTCTTAGGTGAAAAAGTGGCAATAAATTGTATCTCATGTATGAAGTTCTACACTGTTTTAATTTATATCTTTTTACAGGACAAACTTAATTCAAACCAAAAATTCAGTGATATCAGTTCTGACCAGTTCTTCATTATAACTCAAGGCTTGTCAGAGTCCAGATCCTAGCCTGAAGTTTCCTAGAATAGGAGCCTTTCAACTAGAAATGGGGATGGAATGGTTGTCCGGGAGCCCCTATGACTTGGGGGGCAGCTGACATTGTCAAGTGAAGAAGGTCCTTGCAAAGGTCAGCAGCAGGAGTCAGTTCCATCTCAAACCCCAGGCTCAGAGTCGTGAAGATCCACTCCTTCCTGCTCCCCGCTGGTTTTCCCTGTGCATGCCGGTTACCTGTGTGTTTTCAGAAATGCCCACAATACTGGGCCCAACCATGGTTCTGGGTAGCATTGTATGCTGTTACACCTGGCTTTATTATCATGCAGCAGCACAGTTCTGGTGAGTTATTTCCACTTCTATCAGAAAACCATTTAATTTTTTAAAAATTCACCCCTTTAGGTATGATGCCACCCTGAAATCAGTTCCCCCTCAAGATTTCGGCACCCCTGCATTGCATTATTTTGAAGACTGGGGGGTTGTGACTTACGGAAGTGCACTGCCTGCAGAAATCAATCGATCTTTCCTTTCCTTCAAGTCAGGGAAGCTTGGGGGACGTGCAATATATGACATTGTCCACAGAAATAAATACAAAGATTGGATCAAAGGATGGAGGAATTTTAATGCAGGGCATGAACATCCTGACCAGAACTCATTTACTTTTGCTCCCAATGGTGTACCTTTCATTACTGAGGCTCTCTACGGGCCAAAGTACACCTTTTTCAACAACGTTTTGATGTTTTCTCCAGCAGTGTCAAAGAGCTGCTTTTCCCCCTGGGAAGGTCAGGTCACAGAAGACTGCTCATCAAAATGGTCTAAATATAAGCATGACCTGGCAGCTAGCTCCCAGGGGAGAGTGGTTGCAGCCGTGGAGAAAGGTGGGGTGGTGTTCATCCGAGGAGAAGCTGTGCACGCTTACAACCCCCAGCTGAAGCTGAAGAACATTCAGAGGAATCTGATTCTCCTCCACCCACAGCTTCTCCTTCTTGTGGACCAGATACAACTGGGGGAGGAGAGCCCCCTTGAGACCGCAGCAAGTTTCTTCCACAATGTGGATGTTCCTTTTGAGGAGACCGTGGTAGATGGGGTCCACGGGGCTTTCCTCAGGCAGCGAGATGGTCTGTATAAAATGTACTGGATGGACGATACTGGCTACAGTGAGAAAGCAACCTTTGCCTCAGTGACATACCCTCGGGGCTATCCGTACAATGGGACAAACTATGTGAATGTCACCACGCACCTCCGTCGGCCCATCACCCGGGCAGCGTACCTCTTCATAGGGCCATCTGTGGATGTGCAGAGCTTTAGCATCCATGGAGACTGGCAGCGACTGGATGTGTTCATAGCCACAAGTGAACACGCCTACGCAACTTACCTGTGGACAGGTGAAACCGCAGGACAGTCTACCTTTGCACACGTCATTGCAGATCGCCAGAAGATTCTGTTTGACCAGAGTTCAGCCATCAAGAGCACCTCTGTCCCTGAGGTGAAGGACTATGCTGCTATTGTGGAACAGAACCTGCAACATTTTAAGCCAGTGTTCCAGCTGCTGGAAAAACAGATCCTGTCCCGCGTCCGGAACACAGCCAGCTTTCGGGAGACTGCTGAACGCCTGCTAAGATTTTCAGATAAGAGACAGACGGAAGAGGCCATTGACAGGATTTTTGCCATATCCCAGCAGCAGCAGCAGCAGCAGCAGCAAAGCAAGTCAAAGAAAAAACGACAGGCAGGCAAACACTATAAATTTGTGGATGCTGTCCCTGATATTTTTGCACAGATTGAAGTCAATGAGAAAAAGATTAGACAGAAAGCTCAGATTTTGGCACAGAAAGAATTACCCATAGATGAAGACGAGGAAATGAAAGACCTTTTAGATTTTGCAGATGTAACGTATGAAAAGCATAAAGATGGGGGCTCGATGAAAGGTCGGTTTGGACAGGCGCGGGTGGTGACAACTACTCACCACCGGGCCCCGACACTGTCTGCTTCCTATACCAGACTGTTCTTAATTCTGAACATTGCAATTTTCTTTGTCATGTTGGCGATGCAACTGACTTATTTCCAGAGGGCCCAGAGCCTGCACAGCCAAAGATGCCTTTACGCAGTCCTCCTGATAGATAGCTGTGTCTTACTGTGGCTCTACTCCTCTTGTGCCCAGTCTCAGTGTTAGCACTTGAAGCTAAGAATTTCTTGATCATTTTATGATCACAAAAAATAATCGTTGCTCCAGTTACTGAAATTTCTTTTCTTAGATTCATTTTAATAAAAATAGGGAAGATATTTTTCACATAAGAAAGAAGCATAGAGAAAGCAGAATTGGAGCCAGCAAATAATGTATCCAAGGAACGAGAATAGCTTGATTGTCCCCTGGTGTTTCTGGAAGGGTCTGACTTTGCCACTTCAGCAGTCCTCATAGTACTACTTTTAGAAGGAACAAAATGTCTGTTTTTTTAAGTAGTATTTTTCTTAAAAGAAACAAAGATTTAGATAAAACAATTTTTATTATCATTAATTTAATGCTATTAGTAATTTCCAGATACTACATTACAGAAAAGACTGAAACATACAGTTGTAAGAAATATACATGTCTGAAGAATGGATGGCAGGATTTGTCGTTACAGGACCCGGATCATTATTCATATAATGTAATAAAGACGATGGTAGAAGATCGCTAAAAACTTCTTTGTTTTGAGTACCAAACGCATATCTATAAATGAATATTTGGTTATATTTGTCTATGTAAGCATGTAAGTGTTTGGATGAATGCACTTTTGGCTTTTCAATAAGCAAGACAATTACAGATGGAAAACATAGATCTACTGACTAAACTTTTCAAAATAAAACATTTTGTAACCTGAATTTCAATACCAAAGACTGTGGGGCATCTAATCTGGATATGATTCTTATGTTTTTTTAATAGAAAAAGTTATTCAAGTTTATTTTGCTAAATAGATCATAATTGGGTTTTTTTCTAGTGTGTTTCTTCTGTGTTCTTCAAAATGTAACATGTTCTCCAAAATCTTTTTTTTCTTCTAAAATTTTTGAAGAGAGATATTGTTTGGACATGCATTAATTAAACTTACAAAGTAGTGTTTTATTCAAAAGAAGTAATTTCTGTACTTTTTTACATTTTTGTTGTTTAAACATTTTAAGTGTTATTTTTTAAAAAAGCCAACTTAGGGGCCACGACTTAGCTCCGTAGTTCTACCACCTGCCTTGTGAGCACAAGGTCCCAAGTTTGATCCCTGATACAGGAGAAAAAAAAAAAAAAAAGCCAACCTTGAATATTTAAGTCACACCAAACTTTTAAAAACTGAGTTTTCTTAGTTACTTGCATTCACGTCTTTGGGAGGTAACAGCAACACAATACTGAAGATGAAACCCACAGTTTTATGATTAAGGCTAAGAAATTGATATGCTTAAAAAGAACTGAAAAAATAAATTATCTTACATTTAGGATTTGGGGTCTGATATAGTTGTTCTTTGAAAATAGAAAATGTATTTGACCTCAGTTTTGGAGTACAGACACATTCACTCATTTACAGGTTTAATGTAAAAGCCTTTCTTCTTATTTGTCCTTTTTATTCCCATAAATACCAGTATGTAATTAAAAAACAAGAACTCAGACAATTCTTGTGAGGACCTTTTTGTAGTTCTGATTTTGATTCTTTACGTTAAAAAATACAAGTTTGACTTTTAACTCTGTACTTCAGTCATTATTCGTGGAATGAGAAAATGATTCTGAGGAATCATTCTCTCCCTGGGGAGGATGTCATTACACACTGTTTCAAAGAATAATGTTTTTAAAAGAATAATGCTTCCATTTGTCCTGCGTGGATTCTCTTACTAGGATTTAAACTTGCCTTATGTGACAGACTCTTTGTCAACATTCCTCTCTTCCACTCTTTCTCATTCAAAAAGATGAATTGTCTGACAGGATCAAAAGGAAATGTTAAAAAAAAAAAAAAAAAGGGAAAATTACTCTTCAAGGCTACCAGGCAAACCTGATCTCAAACCTGAACTCAGTATGCTTTGTAATGGAGATGAAAAGTGCAAGTAACTGCCAAAATCAGCTTTTCCTTTGTTTTTGTTAAGCTAAGGCTAGATAATGTATCAGTCACTGTGAGCTGGTCTAACACATTGCCTCATTTTAGAAGTAATTTTTTAAAGTACGGTAATATCCCAGTTAAAGAATGCTTCTGTTTGCAAACAGTTTGGTTCTCAAACAGAAGCATTCAACAAAATTTTGCTTCCATTCATAAACCACACTTTGGGTGACAAACACAACCACTACCATCTTCCTCACAAAAACAACTGCAGCCACCTTCCCCAAAATCATAAAACAAATTTAAGTTCATGAACTGAGGTACCAGTGTGTAATAATCATATCTCTCTAAAATACAAGGAATTAAAATTACAAGAGTTTACCCCCCTTTAATAAACATGATTTTTTTCATTTAGAGGGAAATTTCTAGCTGGGTGTGATGATACATGCCTATAATCCCAGCACTCTGGGAGGCTGAGGCAGGAAGATATCAAGTTTGAACCCAGCTTGGACAATTTAATAATTTAGATCCTGTCTCAAAAAATATTTTTTAACAGGCTGGAAAATAGGGATAGAGAAGGAGAGAGAGGGAGGGAGGTAGAGAGAAGAGAGATTTTTTTTTTTTTCAGGCAGAGATTATTTTTTTCAGTGTTAAAGATTGAACCCAGGGCCTTCATACTGAGCTACATCCCCAGCCCTTTTTTGGATACAGAATATTACTAAGTTGCTAAGGCTGAGTTCAAACTCAATTATTTTAAATGGTTAAGTGAAAAGTTATGTTAAAACAAATCATAGCTTTTCATAAAGGGATATGTTTTATATCAAGATGATGAATACTTGAGTGAAACTAAGAAATTCTTTGTACCTTCAAGAAAGCCAGGCAATGTCTTGTTTCTCTTGAAGCAGAGTAATCAATTATGAGATCTATTTCACTCTGCATGAAAAGAGCATTTCAAGTTCATTGGCAAATACTTGAGCTGTTATTCAGGGATTTGGCAAAACTCGGTTTGGTTTTTAGCATTATTAACGTACAGAGCTTGTCTGTACAGTAAGTAGCGTATTTCCTAGTTTGTAGCTGATTAGCTTATTAACTGTCAAGGTGATGTAGGAGACTGATCATTTACTGAAAGAACAGCCTTCTGAGATCATTATAACTTTAAGTCAGATAGAAGCTGTTATTCTGGGACTGTTTCAGTAATTAAAATTTTAGTCATTTATTTAAGTACCACATGTCCTAAGGTTACTAGAAAGAATGTTTTAACATCATTTGCACACTAACATGTTTTAAAAGAAAATTTTACTTTGTGGTGGACTCATTGATCTGGCAGAGTAAATTTCAAGGCAGCCCAGTGCTTTGGCTGTGTCATGGGTATTGCTAGCTGCTTTTAGCCAGATTTATAGTGAGAATCAAGAGCACAAGGCAGAGCAGAAAAATTAGAAAAACTTCAACTTTAGACTCCATACAACCAAGTTGGAGCCAAAGGAGATGTGGTTGGTGAAGAGGATAACACCATTACCAAGAAACCAGGTACTTTGTACAGGTAAAAGACGACTTGTGGGCATCTCAGAAGTAAAGATGTTTACCCATCACAGGCTCAAGGGTGCAAAAGTGTAAACGTTTCATTGAGAAGCTCAGGGACCCCTGCTTGGCAAGGTTCTCTAAAAGGAATTGGTTTCCCGAGATTCAGAGGTCAAGGAGGCTTCCACTTGGATTGGAAAAGAAGGTCTGGAAGGCAGGCATGGTGCCTCTGAGCGGGACGCAGAAGCAGCAGGAATGAAGCTGAAAGTGCAGTGGAGATCCTAGGAGTCAAGAGACAGGAGTGTGGAATGGAGACCCAGTGCAGACGGCCCAAGGTGTAGGGGCTTCGTGGGCTGCAACTGGCAGGGCTGCGGGGTGGGGCTACCCAAGCCCCACGGAGCCTCCGTCTCACCACCACAAGGCCCTGGGCACCAGACCTGGAGCTGCGGGCCTTGGTGTTTTCCTTGCTGGCTTGCAGTCTCTCTTTGGTCCAGGTCTTTTCTGTCTTCCTCTTGTTCCCTTTTGGAATGGGAGTTTTTACCCTGTGCCGTTGTATCTTGAGATTAAATAATTTATGTTTTTAATTTTACAGAGGTGTATAGCTAAGAGTTTACTTAAGCCTTAGAGAAATCCCTTGACTTTTTTTTTTAGCAAGGATTGAACTGAGGACCTTGTGCTTGCAAGGCAGGCGTGGTTCCACTAAGCTAAATCCCTGGCCCCAGAACTAGTATATTTTTGGTAGTATGCCAAATTATTAACTTGTTTTGTTTTTATTTGGGTTTGAGGATACATTTGAACATCCAGTTGACAAGGGGTGTGGTGGTTAAAGCTAATTGTCAACTTGAATGGCTTGAGAACAGCCAGGATTAGTGAAGTACACTTCTGGGTATGTTGGGGTGGGTCACAGAGATGTGACTTTAGGGGTCCATATCTGGGTCTTTCCCCTTTCCCTCACTCTGCTTCCCAGCTGCCATGAGGTGAGCAGCTTTTCTCTGCAAAGCTCCTCTGCCACGATGTCCCTGCCTTGGAGCCAGCTGACCATAGACTGAATCCCTTGAAACTGTGAGCCAAATTAAATCTCTCCATTCAGTTGTGGGTGTCAGGTATGTGTCCCAGTGACAAAGCAGGAGCTGATCTCCTTTGTCTTCATGTTTTGAAAAATCCTTGAAGTTATCTTGATGCTCCATGTTTTTGTCTTTTGCTGCTAAAATAGATTATCAAAGACCGGGTAAATTGCAAGCAAAGTAAGTTTATTTGGCTCAATTGAAGGTGCTGGGAAGCCCAAGATCAAGAGACCACATCTGGTGAAGACCTTCTTGCTGTACCATAACATGGCAGAAAGCATCATGTGGTAAGGAGACAAGACAGGGAGGAAGGCACCCCCTTTGATAGCTATCCCACTTGTGAGATAATGACATTTGTCACCTTTTAAAGGATCTACCTCTTAACACTGTCATAGTGGCAGTAAAATTTCCGGGTGAGTTTTAAAGAAGGCAGTCAAACCATAACACCCATGTTCAATACATACATTAGGGGAGGATTTGTCTCTAATTGGAGACTACTATATTGAGAGCCATTAAGGAAGCATTTCTTTAATTGTGTTTGTGTAATAGAAAGACAATGATCAGTTCATGTAGAAGATGGACCCAGGGGGGAAAAGGCTTGGAGGCCATTTCAGTAGTCAAATTAGGAAATAATTAGCTCTTTGATTAAGTTTGGAGAAAGAATATTTAAGGGCAATCCATAGGCAAAAGGGATATGTATTTTGTGGAGTATTTATCAGAAAGAGTGTGGTACAAGGGTTTCTAGTGATGTATGTTGCTGAGTCTTAATATGGAGGTGCATGGCTATCTGCCATGGCTGCTCCAGTCACTTTGGCTGTCCCTTAAGCCAGGAAATTGTTGAAATCTTCCTGACATTTCTGTTTCCAGCTTGTCTTGTTCACTCCACCTAGGTTGGTTTGGCTGGAGTGTAAGGTGTGCAGTAGTGGGTAGTAGGATGTGAACCTGAGAAGGTAGTCTACCTTGTGGAGGAGTCTTTGTCTCTGTCCTCTTCTTAATTTAAAAAGAAATAGTGCCAACTAGGTAAGCATTTTGATTAACCCAGTTTATTGGACTACCTTCTAAGAAAAGCGAAAGTGCTGCTCCTTTGACGTGTCTGTGGAAATTAGTTATTGGGAAGTCTGTCATGGGATGCATGTTGACTTCAGTCGTGAGTCCCTGTGGAAACACTAATCATTTGGAATGGGCTCTTGGGGCTTCAGTTTAAAGTAGAATACCTTAAAGCATGAGCTTCTAAAAACATTCCAGTCAGCCCAGCACATTCCAGATTAAAGGAGAAGTATTTTTTGGTATATATTTAGAAATTACTTTCTTAACAAAATGTTTTCGGTGGTTTGGGCACTTTTTCTTTCAGAGAAATGCAAATAACAGGATACTAAAGTTACATTGTTGTCCAGAACCAGAAGCCTCTACTAAAATAAAAAGAAGTTCTTGTTTATTGTCTTACTTGATTAAACTCCTTCACCCCAGTCCCTGTGGAATTTGTTTTACCGGCAGAAGAATGAATCTGTGTCATTTATTAGAGTTCTGAGGAGAATTTCTGGAGCACTGTATATATTTAAAGTTCTATATTTTTTATACAAAAACTGAAGAAAGGAAAATGTGAAAGATGAATTTTTAAAATTAATTTTATTGGTACATTTAAGGTACACATATAATGTCATTCATCTTGGAAATTTGCATCATTACATAATTCATCTTGGTTATTTTTTTCCCCATTCCCCTACCCTCCCTTCTACCTCTCCATCCCTCCTTCCCTCCCTATCTACAAACACTGTTTTCATTTTCTCATATTAATTTCATTCCCTTCTTTCATTTCCCCTACCCCTCCCATTTCCCCTTCCCCTTTGCCCCTTTTCTTCCTGTTTCACATTATCTATTCTGCATTTTAGTCCTTATTTACTTTCAATTTCTCAAGCTAAAAAACCTATTTGATATTTACACATATGTGTTCTATTTTTTTCACTTGAGTATAGCCTCAGTGTGCATTCATTTAGCTATAAATGTCTTTAATTTCTCATTCTTTATGGCTGAGTAGTACTTCATTTTATTTAAAAATCCACATCTTTATCTATTCTCCAGTTGATGGTCAATTGGGCTGTTTCCAAGCTTTAGCTGTTGCAAACTGTGCTGCTGTGAACATAGGTGCACATATATCATTGTGATATTCTTTTAATTCTTTGGGGAAGATACCCAGCAGGGTAATAGCTGGGTCAGATGGAACCTCTAATCCTAGTTGTTAGAGGTATCTCCATATTGATTTCCACAGTGATTGCACCAGTCTGCTCTCCCACCAGCAGTGGAGAAGGGTTCCTTTCTTCCCACAACCTTGTCACATTTTGTTATTGGTTGATTTCATGATAGTGGCCATTTTTTCTGGGGTGAGGTAGAATCTCGGTGTTGTTTTCATTTGCATCTCTTTATTTATTCTTTGGTACCGGGATCAAACTCTTGTCCTTGCTCTTGCTTGCAAGGCAGGTGGTGGAACCACTGAGCCAAATCCCTGGCCCTCATTTGCATCTCTTGAATGACTAGTGATGTTGAACATTTTGAAAGATGAATTTAGAAAGATGAATTCACATTTTTAGCAAAG